ATATTGCCCGAAACATTTAAGAATTCATCCTGCTGCTTTTGTCAGCAGTCACATCATCAATAAATACAAGAGAACAAGTTCCATTGGCAGCCATACATGCCCACGCCATGACACTACCACCACCATGCTTCACTGATGCGGTGGTATGCTTAGGATCATGAGCAGTTCCTTTCCTTCTCCATACTCTTCTCTTCCCATCACTCTGGTACAAGTTGATCTTGGTCTCATCTGTCCATAGGATGTTGTTCCAGAACTGTGAAGGCTTTTTTAGATGTCGTTTGGCAAACTCTAATCTGGCCTTCCTGTGTTTGAGGCTCACCAATGGTTTACATCTTGTGGTGAACCCTCTGTATTCACTATGGTGAAGTCGTCTCTTGATTGTTGACTTTGACACACATACACCTACCTCCTGGAGAGTGTTCTTGATCTGGCCAACTGTTGTGAAGGGTGTTTTCTTCACCAGGGAAAAAATTCTTCGGTCATCCACCACAGTTGTTTTCCGTGGTCTTCCGGGTCTTTTGGTGTTGCTGAGCTCACCGGTGCGTTCCTTCTTTTTAAGAATGTTCCAAACAGTTGTTTTGGCCACGTCTAATATATTTTTTGCTATCTCTCTGATGGGTTTGTTTTGTTTTTTCAGCCTAATGATGGCTTGCTTCACTGATAGTGACAGCTCTTTGGATCTCATCTTGCGAGTTGACAGCAACAGATTCCAAATGCAAATAGCACACTTGAAATGAACTCTGGACCTTTTATCTGCTCATTGTAATTGGGATAATGAGGGAATAACACACGCCTGGCCATGGAACAGCTGAGAAGCCAATTGTCCCATTACTTTTGGTCCCTCAACAAGTGGGAGGCACATATGCAAACTGTTGTAATTCCTACACCGTTCACCTGATTTGGATGTAAATGCCCTCAAATTAAAGCTGACAGTCTGCAGTTAAAGCACATCTTGTTCTTTTCATTTCAAATCCATTGTGGTGGTGTATAGAGCCAGAAATGTTAGAATTGTGTCGATGTCCCAATATTTATGGACCTGACTGTACCTTCCTGTATAGAAGTAGTCTTAATGACAGTTGAGTTTGGCAGAGGCATCCTGGCTTCTACTTTTAGCCAAAATTGAGGAGTGTGTAGCCCTATCCCTCCCCTCTGTGATTTGCTAGTTCCCAGCTGTACTGACATGGAACTGTCAGGAAAATGGAAAATTGAATGACAAATACTTAACATAATTTTCCTTTACTGACGAGCTCCATATCAGTACAATTCCCACCCAGCTTGGTAGGTGTACTATAGAATGCCAGGGCTGCTGGTGGGCTCAAATTTAGGTCCTGGAAGCATGGGGGGGGTGGGGCCTCTACCCAGCTGTGCTGACATGGAGTCCGGAAAGGAAAATTACAGTAAATATCTCTCATTCAATTTTCTGTTTTTGTTCACCTTAGTTGTGGGCTAATAAAAAGAAATGGAGTTTGTCCCTTTATTTCTTTTAATAACATATGCACATACAGTGCCTTGAAAAAGTATTCATACCCCTTGAAATTTTCCACTTTGTCATGTTACAAATCAAAACGCAAAATGCAGATTTTATGTCATAGACCAACACAAAATGGCACATAATTGTGAAGTGGAAGGAAAATGATAAATGGTTTTCAAAATTTTTTACAAATACAGTTGTGTTCAAAATAATAGCAGTCAGACATCACTAACCTGATCAATCACTGTTTTTGGTAGAAATTATATTTCTACATGGCAAATAATTTACTAGCAGGTGTAGTAGAGTAATAGAAATCCAACAGACCCAACAGTCATGACATGCATGCTGCTGATTCTGTGTAATTGAATCACTAATTGAAAGGGGCATGTTCAAAATAATAGCAGTGTGGAGTTCTATTAGTGAGGTCATTCATTCTTTGAAAAACAGGTGGCAATTATTGCCCTTATTTAAGGAAGGAAGGCAGCAAATGTTGTACATGCTGGTTACAGTGCATTTCTCTCTGAAATTCTGAGGAAAATGGGTCGTTACAGACATTGTTCAGAAGAACCGCGTACCTTGATTAAAAAGTTGATTGGAGAGGGGAAAACATATAAAGAAGTGCAGGAAATGATAGGTTGCTCAGTTAAATGATCGCAAATGCTTTAAAATGGCAACCAAAACCTGAAAGACGTGGAAGAAAGCGAAAAAACTACCATTCGAATGGATAGAAGAATAGCCAAAATGGCAAGGACTCAGCCAACAATCAGCTCCAGGAAGATCAAAGAAGGTCTAAAGTTACCTGTGAGTACTATTACAATTAGAAGACGCCTATGTGAAGCCAAGCTATCTGCAAAAAGCCCCCGCAAAGTCCCACTGTTGAAAAAAAGACGTGCTGAAGAGGTTACAATTTGCTAAAGAGCACATTGACTGGCCTAAAGAGAAATGGCGCAACATTTTGTGGACTGATGAAAGTAAGATTGTTCTTTTTGGGTCTAGTGGCCGGAGACAGTTTGTCAGACGACCCCCAAACACTGAATTCAAGCCACAGTACACTGTGAAGACAGTGAAGCATGGTTGCGCAAGCATCATGATATGGGGATGTTTCTCATACTACGGTGTGTTGGGTCTATTTATCGCATACCAAGGATCATGGATCAGTTTGAATACATCAGAATACTTGAAGAGGTCATGCTGCCTTATGCTGAAGAGGAAATGACCTTGAAATGGGTGTTCCAACAAGACAACGACCCCAAACACACCGCTAAACGTGCAACATCTTGGTTCCAGACCAACAAGATTGACGTTATGGAGTGGCCAGGCCAATCCCCAGATCTTAATCTAATAGAAAACTTGTGGGGTGACATCAAAAATGCAGTTTCTGAGGCAAAACCAAGAAATAGAGAAGAACTGTGGAATGTAGTCCAATCATCCTGGGCTGGAATACCTGTTCACAGGTGCCAGAAGTTGGTTGACTCCGTGCAACACAGATGTACAGCAGTTCTCAGAAACAGTGCTTATACAACTAAATATTAATTAAGTGATTCAAAGGAAAGCAAAATCTTCAAACATTTTTCAGTTTATATAGTGAATGTTTGAGTTTGTAAAGAAGAATACAAACACTGCTATTTTTTTGAACAGTCTAATATTCACTTTTCTTCAATTTTTTAGAGGAACAACACAAATTTGATATATTTTTCTTCATGTTTTGATTTGGAATAGAATGTGTAGTGTTCCCAATGCATTTGTGTGTATGGAAATAAAAGCTATTAGAAGGATTTTGAGCTTTATTCACTTTTTTCAACACACTGCTATTATTTTGAACACAACTTTATATGAAAAGTATAGTGTGCATTTTTATTCAGCCCCCCCTGAGTCAATACTTTGTAAAACCTTTCGCTGCAATTACAGCTGCACGTCTGTTAGGGGATGTCTCTTCCAGCTTTGCACATCTAGACAGTGAAAGTTTTACCCATTCTTCTTTGCAAAATAGCTCAAGCTCTGTCAAATTGGATGGAGAAAGTCTGTGAACAGCTATTTTCAAGTCTTGCCACAGACTCTCAATTGGACTTAGGCCTGGACTGTGACTGGGCCATTCTAACACATGAATATGCTTTGACCTAAACCATTCCATTGTAGCTCTGGCTGTATGTTTATGGTCGCTGTCCTGCCGGAAGGTGAACCTCCGCCCCAGTCTCAAATCTTTTGCAGACTCTTAACAGGTTTTCTTCTAAGATTGCTCTGTATTTGGCCTGTCCCTGCTGAAGAAAAGCATCTCCACAACATGATGCTGCCACCACCATGTTTCACAGTGGGGATGCTGTGTTCAGGGTGATGTGCAGTGTTAGTTTTCCTCCACACATAGCTTTTGCTTTTAGGCCAAAAAGTTCAGTTTTGGTCTCATCTGACCAGAGCACCTTCTTTCACATGTTTGCTGTGTCCCCCCACATGGCTCCCAAACTGCAAACGAGACTTCTTATGGCTTTCAACAATGGCTTTCTTCTTGGCACTGTTCCATAAAGGCCAGATTCCTGGTGTGCACGACAATAGTTGTTCTGTGGACATATTCTCCCACCTGAGCTGTGGATCTCTGCAGCTCCTCCACAGTTACCATGGGCCTCTTGGCTGCTTCTCTAATAATGCTCTCCTTACCTGGCCTGTCAGTTTAGGTGAACGGCCATGTCTTGGTAGGTTTGCAGTTGTGCCATACTCTTTTTCCATTTTTGGATGATGGCTTGAACAGTGCTCCGTGAGATGTTCAAAGCTTGGGCTATTTTTTTTTATAACCTAACCTTGCTTTAAACTTCTCCACAACTTTATCCCTGACCTGCCTGGTGTGTTCCTTGGCCTTTGTGATGCTGTTTATTCACTAGTGTTCTCCTACAATCCTCAGAGGGTTTCACAGAACAGCTGTATTTATACTGAGATTAAATTACATACAGGTGGACTCTATTTACTAATTAGGTGACTTCTGAAGGCAATTGGTTCCACTAGATTTTAGTTAGGGGTATCGGAGAAAAGGGGGCTGAATACAAATGCATGCCACACTTTTCAGATATATATTTGTGAAAAGTTTTGAAAACAATTTATCGTTTTCCTTCCACTTCACAATTACACTATATTGCTGCCAAAAGTATTGGGACATCCCTCCAAATCATTGGATTCAGGTGTTCCAATCACCTCCATGGCCACAGGTGTATAAAATCAAGCACCTAGGCATGCAGACTGCTTCTATTTTTTTTTTCCCCCAAAATATTTTAGTGTACTTTTCAGAGTTATCATTACAACTAGCAAGTTATGAACACTGAACAGCATTTTACAAATGGATACATATAAATTTTATAGCCACTGCTAGAGTTGAGGTGTAAAGTCAGGGCATTTCCATCCACAAAATGTTGTGCATTTCTGAAAGATCAGATATGTACTTTCAGTGTCTTTAACACATTGTTGCTGGTCCTTTAAAGGAGTTTTTGAAAAAGATGGGCAGTGGCATTTCTGATCATGTGACCTCTACATGGTTCTCATCTCCATCCTAGAAATATTCCAGTTCATCGTCCTTTTTCTTATCCAGCTGGAAAGGCACCAAAGTCGATTTCTCCCCTGTACCAGGCAGAGGTACGAAGACTCTAACGTGGATAAAAGTGTCCTCTCCAGGGTCCTCCTTGAAAGAGTAATTTGTTCCAGCAACAACCTGAGTACCGACGAGGACTGCCTTAAATTCCTTGGGGTTTGTCCCAGACTGCTTCTCGTACGGTTCTTTCACCTCATCAAGGATGGCCTGATCTTCGGCAGTAGGTGTCCTGGGCTCACTCACTCCCCCAATTGCTGATTCTGCAGTCTTACTCATTTTTGTTCTCAGTAGACTGATTAGACTGCTTCTATAAACATTTGTGAAAGAATGGGTCGCTGTCAGGAGCTTAGTGAATTCAAGCATGGTACCGTGATAGGTTGCCATCTGGGCAATAAGTCCATCCATGAAATTTCCTTACTACTAGATATTCCATGGTGAACTGTTAGTGGTATTATAACAAAGTGGAAGCAATTGGGAACAACAGCAATTCAGCCACGATGTGGTAGGCCACACATAATGACAGAGCGGGGTCAGCGCATGTTGAAGCGCACAGTGCACAGAAGTCGCCAACTGTCTGCAGAGTCAATAGCTAAAGACCTCCAAACTTCTTGTGGCCTTCAGATTAGGAGAACAGTGCATAGAGAGCTTCATGGAATGGGTTTCCATGGCCGAGCAGCTGCATCCAAGCCTTACTACACCAAGTGCAATGCAAACAGTCGGATGCAGTGGTGTAAAGCATGTTGCCACTGGACTCTAGAGCAGTGGAGATGTGTTCTCTGGAGTGACGAATCACGCTTCTCTGTCTGGCAATCCAATTAATGTGTCTGGGTTTGGCAGTTGCTAGGAGAACAGTACTTGCCTGACTGCATTGTGCCAAGTGTAAAGTTTGGTGGAGGGGGGATCATGGTGTAGGGTTGTCTTTCAAGGGTTGGGCTTGGCTCCTTAGTTCTAGTGAAACAAACTCTTAGGGCGTCAGCATATTAAGACATTTTGGACAATTTCATACTCCCAACTTTGTGGGAACAGTTTGGGGATGGCCACTTCCTGTTCTAGTAAACAAAGCAGGGTCGATAAAGACATGAATGAGCGAGTTTGGGGTGGAGGAACTTGACTGGCCTGCACAGAGTCCTGACCTCAACCCGATAGAACACCTTTGGGATGAATTAGAGTGGAGATTGTGAGCCAGGTCTTCTCATCCGATATCAGTGCCTGACCTCACAAATGCGCTTCTGGAAGAATGGTCAAACATTCCCATAGACACACTCCTAAACCTTGTGGACAACCTTCTTAGAAGAGTTGAAGCTGTTATAGCTGCAAAGGGTAGGTCAACTCAATGTTAAACCCTACAGACTAAGACTGGGATGCCATTAAAGTTCATGTGCGTGTAGAGGCAGATGTACCAATAATTTTGGCAATATGGTGTATGTGCCACTTTGTGTTTGCCTATCACATAAAATCCCAACAAAATACACTTACATTTTTTGGTTGTAACGTGATAAAATGTGGAAAATTTCAAGCGATATGAATACTTTTTCAAGGGGGCTGTATTTAATATCTATCACATAAGAAAAAGCACCAGATCGTACTTAAAACAGTTCTTCACAATTAGCAATAACAATTTCAATATTTATTAGTAGGACCTACTAATGAAGTTTTGACCATCAGACATAATGCATATAGGGGTGGAGCTTAGCTGATTACATCATCACATGGCCATATTGGGATTGCTGAGTAGTTAGAGACAGGTAATTAGAAACTGTTATTGCTTACTGGGAAGCGCTTTTTTAAGCACGATCTGGTGCTTTCTCTTTTGTAAGTGCATTTGACCCATTGCTTATACTATCAATAAATACATCACTATCAGTTCCCTTTCTCTTTTATTTATGTCAGGCATTACTAAATGGCGAACCGAGTCACTGTCCCATCTAGACCACTGCAGTCCCACAATTTAGGAGCCAAGTGATTGGTTGCTAGTATGAAGGGCAGTCCTAGCAACCTTTCACTACCTAAAGAGTACTCTGCAGTGAAGGTGTCATGTACCTGATTGGAGACTGAAATGACGAGGTCGGCCTCACTTGTGTCACTAGTCCTGACCCCACTGGAATTGGAACAGAGGGTGTCTAGGGACCAGGGGGACAAGAGCGCCAGCAGATGTTGTTTGCAGCTTTTGCAGTTGGAGACTTTGGAAGACTGATGAACCTCCGATTCAGGCACAGTAGTGATATGCAGAGCTGGTATGGTAGGTCGTCAGATGTGCACCAGAGTAAGGCAGGAATCAGGGATAGGAGATAGGAGTAATGTCATAGGAATAGCCGGGGTCATCAATGGGCAGACAGCGAGGTACCATATCATAAGCAAGCCAAAGGCAGGAGCAGAGCCGCAGTCAGGAACCAGTATCAAGCAGGAGATTAATCAGAGTCAGGTCAGAAACAAGCCGAGTCAGCAACAAGGAAATCACACAGGAAGGAGCAGGAAATGGGGAACAGCTGAAGACCAGTCAGCACTCAGCACAGGGAGAGGCACCTTTTAAATATTCCGTCTGGTGCCAATCTTTGCCGTGTGCGTGTGTGTGCCAGATCGCGCATTTCTGTGCGCATGCGCACGTCTATTCGCCAGCCGTCTCACGGGAATTCCCTTACAGAAGGGCGGCAGAGGACAGTACTTTTGGGTGGTTGATGTCAAGGAAGTGTGAGGACACTACTGTAAAAAGGGTGGGTGATGTAAAGGTGGAGCTGAGGTTACTCATCAAGAGGGGATCTTGATGTGAAGGGGGGAGGGGAACGTGATGTACAGTGGGGACTGAGGACACTAATGTAAGAATGGGTTCAGATCTGTGCATGGGCATTTGGTGCACACGTTGTGGGTAGGTCAGCCCATTCACTTTAATGGGTTGCACTAACTGCGAGAAACACAGAGAAAGAAGTCCCTGATCCTTTTTTTTTTTTTCAACATAGTGCATCACAAAGCCGCATGATGCTGCAGCAACATGCAACATGCTAGAAGAAAATTTTACTGATCAGACCTCGGTGGACTGTATATTATAATTTGAAGTTGTGTTACACTATATGATTTTTTTTTAGTTCAAGGGGGACCTGCCAAACCTTGGGTGGGGTGAGATTGTTGTACTACATGATACAGGGGACTCTGCTCAGCAAAGGTTCTCTGCTGCAGGCAATTTGTGGCAATTGGGGTCTTTTATGCTCAAAGGAACCACTATTGGATCCATGATAAAATCGCAAAATGGTCAGTCAGTCCCCTGCCAACATCTCAGAGGAAGCCCAAAATGTGGTACTTTGAAGAGGTACTATGTATGAACCTTTTTGCCACATTTCCTTATAGTGGCAATATCCCCTCTCATGACCAACATGCCTCCGATCATATGATCCCTGCAAGGAGGTGCAGCGGTGGCATTTCGAAAATATCTTTTTAAAGCAACAGCAGCTTGGCCCAGCTGCAAACAGCAATCACAGGCAGCACCAGAACCTGTGCCTAGGGCTGATGCAGACACTTTATTAAGGACCCCATGGACTACTGGGTGTCCATGCTGGACCACTGGCCAGACCTTGCACATTATGTGCTGGAGCTTCAGGCTTGCAGCACTGCAGAAGGTTTTGTAATGGAGAGACAAATTCACCTGTCCCCCACATATTTATTCCCCAACTTGACCTCAGTTCAAAATTTTCCAGCGATTGCTGTAAGGAAAATTCTGCTTTGGGTCTAAAAGTTTATGGCATAGAACAGTTGTTAGAACTCCTGCCCAAAATTGTTCTACAGTCATAATAAAACCTCTTAAAACTGACTTTTTTCTTGCAGAACTACAAATCTTAGATACCCCATTAGTTTTTAAATGAGGAGACACTCCAGTAAGTTTACAGCCATATTGTCAGGGTCCACCGCGGCGTCTGATCCGGCGCATGCGCAGTTTCGCCGGCTCGCGCCGGGATACGGCACTAGGTCCCGGCTGACCGCGGCAGAAGGAAGCTCGCTCATGCGCACTAGGCGCCGTGGGTGTGTGCTGTGCACCAATGACAGCGCAGGGCGCTGTATTTAAAGATGCCCTGCGCTGATACTGGTTGCTGTGAGGTCTCCCTGTGTTCCCTTGCTCTGTTCCTGTGTGTACTGCCTGATTGCTGACCCGGATTACCTTGACTCGCTGCCTTCTCCTATCCTGACCCTTGGCTTGCCTGACCTCTCTCTTGGATTTCCCCTTGGATTGACAACTCTGGTATTGAACCTGCGTGTGACCCGACTCTCCTCTGCCTGCCGTCTTGTACCTCGCCGCTCCCACGGTAACGACCTGGCCTGTCTGACTACGAAACATCCGTCCATCCATCCACTCCGCGCAGGTCTGTTGGCCTCTTCACATCAGGCTCTCCCCCTGTAGATTTCCCCAACGGACCCCTCTGCCACGGGTGGGAGTACCCAGAGGTGGTGACCTGGTCCTGGTCTGCTCCAAGTCCATCCCCACCATCAGGGGCCCTGGTGAACAAGTAGACCGGGACTTAGACTCCACGCTCTGGGAAATCCTGTCCAGTGGACTGCCAGAGGTACCACCAGGTGGATCATAACACATATGCTGTGTGGGCAATAAATCTACACTACTAAGGAGTCCATTTATCAGTGTTTTCAAGATTCACCTATTTCCCACATAAGATTCCGTTATGGTAAATGTTGTGTGATTATTGGGTAAAAACATTGATAACTATACCTTAGGATGGCTGAACATAGTCTCTTTATTTCATAGCCCCTATAGGGGGATATGTGACTGTCAACACAATTCCACGTGTGATTCTGAGATGTATGTACCCACTTTTCTTCATGGTGGGGGTTCAGCGCCAACAGCAAGCCTTCTAACAATCATAAAGTACAGGGTCTGTGGTTTGTTTATATGCAAATAAGAAAACAACTGTCAGTGCTGAAATGCTGTTGTCCATGACAATTCCATGTACTCAATAACATTGTCCATGGCCTTTGCAGCTCTCACCAGACTGGGGAATCTTTGAGCAATACTAGAAAACAGATAGAAAGGACAGCGGCATTGTGTAAATTTTCAATCAAATGTATATTAACAAATACAGGGACGCCTGCCTTTCCACACACATGAACTTTAATGGCAGTCTTAGTCCGTAGGGTTCAATATTGAGTTGGCCCACCCTTTGCAGCTATAACAGCTTCACCTCTTCTGGGAAGGCTGTCCACAAGGTTTAGGAGTGTGTCTATGAGAATATTTGACCATTCTTCCAGAAGCGCATTTGTGAGGTCAGGCACTGATGTCG